GGCACCATCAGCTTTCTTCACCACATTTGCTTATGCACCCATTTGTCTTCAGTGATCCGTTCGTTACCGAAAGTAGTATGTTTCATCATTGCTACACTGCACCCTCACTGAGTCATCTCCCTGAGACCCTTCCGTAAGGGGATATCCAGTTGCCTACAGACGGGCTTTGGGTTCCCACCCCGCACACCCCTTCATTCACAATGAAGCTAGATGGCTGCTTGTTTGCCTTCAAGCCTTTAAGAACCCAGACACTATATCTTTTGATAGCTGGGCACCATCAGCTTTCTTCATGAAGCTGTTGTTTCTTGATATACTCTCCATCTGGGCATATGTCCTTTTGATGACAATATTTCCATCTCTGTAATCCTTCCCTGAAGAGTTCTACTCTCCAATTTATATTACCTTATATACTTGAGTATAAGTCCACCCAAATATCCACCGAGGCACTAATTTTACCACAAAAACTACACAAAGTGCTGAAAAACTCGGCCTATACTCGATTATATACGGTATAATACAGTGGCAGTATTAGCATCCTGAGGGACTCAAATCAAGTTCATTTTAAGTTCATTTTAAGTGTTATTTTGAGTTTTGGTACCAAAAATGTCTGTAGGGGCAAGTCCAGGGTTGAAGGGTAGCTGGGGTAAGTTTCTTTAACAAAATTCTTATAGGACAGCCCTTGGTGCCTTTGAAGAACGAGCAGGTATATTGTCATGATGGAAAAAACTTCCTCTGCGCTGGTTTCCCAGCATTTTTGTCACCAATGCAATTTTTCCTTTCTTTAAACTTCTTCATAATAAATCCCCTTGATCATTCTGTGTCCTTTGAGAAAACCTATCTGGATTATTTATTTGGAATCCCCAAAAACCAGTCACCGTAACAGCTTTTAAGGAAGGAGCTATGGCGGTGTAGTGGTTACACAGTGGGCTGTGATTTGCATAGTCGGCAGTGCCAAATCACCATCTGCTCTGCAGAACAAAGACTAGACTTTCTACTCCCATAAACAGTTACAGTCTTGAAAACCCACAGGGGGGCACTGAGTCAGCACTGACTCGATGGCAGTAACTTATTTTTTTAAATAACATTCTGAGCTGACTTCTTTCCTTTGAGTTTAAATGACTCAGCAGAACCTCTTGGAAGCCAGTTTTGACCCAGCACCACCACCACCCCTTTTTGAAGGGCCCCCTTGGTGGAAATTGACTCAACAGTGAGGTTTTTGAAGGAGACTAAAACAACTGCATTGCTCAGAGAACTTGTTTGTGGTCATATGCTGATCATAGACAAGTTTAGACACTTTGTGTTTGAATAAGCCCTTGCATGTAGGAGCTAGAACCCTAGTAGTAATTTTTTTTATTTATCCTTGGAGAGCAGTGAGATTGATTCTAAAATACCAACAGCATTTGCTATTTATTGCAATGTTGAATGTTTGGGGCATGTTGTGCATGTAGGTATGTGATAATATTAGTTACTGAACCTGTTTGTCTTGGGATGTAACGAATCGATCCCCAGAGGGGAGTGTATGAGAAAGAGAAAGGGTTAGATCATGAGGAGTTATAGGACTTAAAGGAAAATTAAGGAATTTGCAATAAAGAAGTACAGGTGATGTCAGTCTTTATGTGGAGCAGATTATAGGAGAAGCTGGACTCTGAAGAAGCATGTGGCATCCGGATTGGGAGAAGACTTATTTTCAATTTTCCATATGCAGATCACACAGCCTTGCCAGCTAAAAGCAAGGAGTTGAAGCATTGATGAAGATCAATGACTGCAGTGATGTATTGCAACTCAATGTAACGAAAACAAAAACCTCACCACTGAATCGATAAATAACATCATAATAAGCAGAAAAGATTGAAATTGTCAAGGATTTCATCTTGTTTGGATCCATAGTCAATATTCATAGAGGCAGAAGTCAGGTGATCGAATGACATGATGGAATGGGCAAATCTGCTGCACAAGACATCTTAGTGTTGAAGAGCAAGGATGTCACTTTGAAGACTGAAGTGTATCTGACACAAACCATGGAATTTTCAGTCACTTCATATGCCTGTGAAAGTTGGCCCGAAGAAGAATGGATACATTTGAATTGTGATGCTGGTGAAGAATATTGAAACTATTAGGAGAAAACAAAATAATCTGTCTTGGGAAATGTATATCCAGAAAGCTTCTTGGAAGTGAGAGGCAAAACTTCGTCTTAAGTACTTTGGGCCATGTTATCATCAGGATCCCGCTCCTTGAGGAGGACATCATGCTTGGTAAAGTGGATGGGCAATGAAGAAGAGGCAGACTCGATCAGGTGGACTGACACAGTGGCTCAAACTGAACAATTGTGAGGGTGGCGTAGGACTAGGCACTGTTTTATTCTGTTGTGTATTGGGTCGCTATGAGTCAGAATGGATTTGACAGCATCTAGCAACAACAACAAGTGGTGCCAAACGTAAATAACAGAAAAGGCTTAACAAGCTTGAAGTATAAAGAAATATGATGCACCATTTGGTATGAAAACTCTGGTTAAAGGGGTGTAGGGCAGCTATTGTTGGATTAAAACAGGCTTGATCCTCTAAGATCTCATGCAGTGTTCTAACTAGAACAGGTGCTTTTATTTATATACTGTGTTTTAGATAAAGTGGAGAAGACAAATAAGCCAGATCATTTTCTCCAAGCCCTGATCTAATGGGTCTTCTTTCATCTCCTGTGTAGAAGTTACAGGATTTAATGAGTGATGAATATCTGGAAGTAAGGGCAATCCTTTCACATTTCAGAAACCATTCAGCATGGTCAGAAAATCCCACCTTTGTGGCTCTGCTTTGTGAAATTTTGGTTGAAGATAATTTTTTGCTTCATCTACTTCAAATATGTTAAATATTTGAAACTTTAGAGCATAATCTTAACCTGAGTCCTGGTTAAGCTAAGAACTTAATTCCTTTTGTTTTATAGAAACAGATACATTAAAAAGTCTTTATCTTTTTTTAAAGTCTTTATCTTTTTACATTATCCTCATGTAGATATCTCAAGTTCTATATAAGTATTGAGCAGAAAGGATGAGATCTTAAACATTGTATAATGCCAAAATTTATTGATGATATTATGGGTCATAGCCATATTTCAATAGAGTGGTTATTTTGTCCAATGTTAGCAATATTTTATCCTTGTGTTCACTGGCTGCTTTATTTTGAATACCTGAGGGAATGATTGATCTATAGAAGGATAGATGGAAGATGAACTAAGTATACAAATAATAATTATAAGCTCTAGATGCAAGAAATATGGGTATTATTATAATTCTTCAAATTCTCTAGTCTTTGAAAATTTTCTTAATAAATAATGAATTGCAGAATAAAATACCCATTGTCATTAAGTATACCTGATAAAAAACTGTAATGAAAGACTTTCACGTCTTTGAGCTGACGTGATGGCCATGTTTGTTTATTTCCAGGTTAAATTCAGTGAGCTAACTGTTGACATGTTCCGGATGTTACAAGCTTTGGAAAGGGAGCCAATGAATTTGGCATCTCAAATGAATAAACCAGGAATGCAGGTAATCTTCTCCCCACATTGGCTATTTTGTTAACAGTTTTATTGCTTCTGATCTTCTGGAATGCCACTAATACTCCTCCTATGGATAAAATTATCTCGATGAGAAACAGGATAAACATAAAAGTAATAATCTAGATTCTCTGATCGTTTGCTGAGCATATTGATTGAATAAGTATAGTAAGAGTGTGCAACCCTGTCGCATACCTTTTCTGATTTTAAACCATGCGTATTCTCTTGTTCTATTCAAACAACTGTCTCTTGATCCATGTATAAGAAGCTGGACTATATGAAGAAGAATGCAGCATAAGGATTGGAGGAAGGCTTATTAATAATTTTCAGTATGTAGATAACACAACTTTGGTAGTTGAAATTGAGGAGAACTTCAAACACTTGCTGATGAAGATCAAGGATTACAGCCTTCAGGATGGATTATAATTCAGTGTAAAGAAAGCCAAAATCCTCACAACTAGACCAATAGATACATCTTGATAAATGGACAAAAAATTGACGTTGTCAAGGATTTGTCTTGCTTGGATCCACAATCAATGTCCATGAAAGCAGCAGTCAGGCAATAAATGACTCATTGCACTGGGTAAATCTGCTGTACAAGATCTCTTTAAAGTGTTGGAAACCAAGGATCTTACTTGGAGGACTATGGTGTGTCTGACCCAAGCCATGATATTTTCAGTTGCGCATATGCATGTGAAAGTTTGATGTTGAATAAGGAAGCCTGAAGAAGAATTAATGCATCTGAAATGTAGTGCTGGAGAAGAATACTGAAAGTACCATGGACTGCCAAAAGAACCAACAAATCTGTCTTGGAAAAAGTATGGCCAGAGTGCTCCTTAGAGGCAAGGAAGTAAGATTTGGTCTTACATACTTTGGACATATTGTCAGGAGAGACCTTGAAGAAGGACATCATGATTAGTAAAGTAGAAGGGCAGTAAAAGAGAGGACGGCCCTCAAGAGATGATTGACACAGTGACTCTAACACTGAGCTTAAGCATGGGAACAATTGTGAGGATGGCACTGGACTGGGCATTGTTTCCTTTTGTTGTGTATAGGTCACTATGGGTCAAACTTGACTTGGCGCCTAAAAACAGCAACAACAAAAACAATGAGTAAAGGGAAAGATGTGTAATAAAGAGATAGTTAAGTATTCACTGATAAGACATCCCTCAAATACAACATCTGTGTGTATTGTTTTCTATCTAGGAATCAGCCGACAAGCCTACCAGACGAGAAAATCCCCACAAGTATCTGCTCTATAAACCAACCTTTAGCCAACTGTACACATTCTTAGCAGCGTCTTTTAAGGTACATATAATGCAATATATTTTATTATCTGCATAGGAGATAAGTAACTTGTATGTAAATAATACAATTAAATCTTTGGGGACAAATGTATACTAGCTAGAATCTGAGCGTTACTCTTTGAAAATTTAAGTACAGAATTTAGTTAGAATATTTAAATGATAACTTGTCTTTAGAATAACTGTCCTAGTCATAGCTGTTTTTGAAATGGAAATTGCTTATGATGTGAATAATCTTAACTAGTTATTGATGGGAGTATTTATTAATGCCTCAATGATCTAGTGCTGCTATAATAGGAATACCACACATGAGTGGCTTTAACAAAGAGATTTATTTTCTCACAGTTGAGGAGGCTAAAAGTCTGACATGAGGATGCCTGCTCTAGGGGAAGTCTTCCTCCTGTGTCAGCTCTGGAGGAAGCTCCTTGTCTCTTTAGCTTCTGTTGTGATCTTTATGTGTCACGGCTTCCGTCTTCTTCGTTTAGCCTTCTTTTATTTCTCAAGGAATTAATTGAAGGTAATACTTGACATGGAGGGGAGCTTGTCTTTTCAACTTACGGTTGAGACCTTTATTTCTCTATTTCAAGTTTTCAGAGAATATTCTCTAAATGATAGAATTTCTGAAGCAGAAAATGTCTTCACAGCTTTTGGTAGCAATTGCAGATGATAAATTAATTGAGTGAGCTGTTCATCACCCCACCCATCACATTAAATATCATTAAATTGAAATGAAACTGTATTGTTTTATGTTTGTTGTTTTCTTTCATTTCAGGAGCTGCCTGCCAATAGTGTGCTTCTGATTTACCTGTCGGCTACTGGCGTTTTTCCCACAGGTCGTTCTGATAGTGAAGGTACAATAAAGGAATGCTCCCTGTCGTGAGCAGGGCTTGAATTCTCTTTATTTTCTACAAGACGATGGCCCGTAGCCCACATATCATCTAAAGCTATTTTGAAAGGCTTCTTAATGTTGAAACCTGGTGGTTTTTTTTTAATTGGCAATTACATTGATACCCCAGTCTGTTTTATTTGCTGCAATAGTATATATTGAAGCCTATAAGCAATCAGAAAATTCATATATTAAATGCATGCTTTAATTTTAAATTTTCCAAGGTGTATTTGTATAAGGAGTTGTATGTTTTGAATTCATAAAGGATGGTGGAAGCCAGCTTGAATATCTACTTCATATCACTAAATTTTTTCAGAGGGAATCAGGCCAACAGCTACAGGTGGCTAAAAGTCTTTGTAGAAAACAGTGCACTTCTATAACTGGGAAAGTTCATGTCTTTGTCATGATTTTGTTGGTTTTGTCCTTTATTTATTTTTTTATATATTCAGCCCATGGAATATTGGGATGCGGTTTCAGAATGAAGCTTAAAACAGCTCAGATTAAATATCAGTCTAGAATTGCTCAGAAGATGAGTAACTTGTATGTAAATAATACAATTAAATCTCTGGGGAAAAATAATTTTTAACCTTCTCCTCTTCATCTGTTTGTTGAAATTTGCATTCCTTTATACAATGCATGTCCCTGCCATCTTCCTTGCATGACAATTCTTAAAATGTTATAATGAAAAGAAAACGAAACAAAAATCGCTGTAGTCTTTTTATTACAATTTTTTGGTTATTATTTTTAGAGAAAAACATAACACTGAATGATGCAAAACCTTAAATTACTTGAGTTCTTTTGGTAATAAAATTAGTCATTTTATTTATTTTTTATTATTATTATTTTTTTAGTCATTTTATTTTTAAGGAATTATTTCCATGTCTTGAAACGCTGTTGAATCAGGTTCTTTGGGCCCAACCTTAAACTTACCTTTTTCAAAGTAGTAGGTAACAAGTGAATGTTCCCTTAACAGAGATTATTCTGAATATCCCCCATTTAGAAAAGAATTTAGCTAATTGACAATGCCTAGTGGCGAAGTGTTACCTTCAAAACCAGAACAGCAGTGACTGGTGCAATAGTAATACTAATGGATTTTCCCACACATTGAAATTTGGCAACATTTGTTACAAATTAAGTTATTGTGCATAAGAATTTTCAAATAATTTCTTAAATATGACCGTGATTGCCTCACTGTAGGTCATATTGTATATAAGAGGGGTTTGAGTACCATGGACTTCAGACTTCATGGAGCCATGAAAATTGGATGAACTTCTGAAACTATGACCCTGAGAGAGACATTTAAGCCTTCTACCAACAATAGCCCGTGATATTTTTAAAACCAAGCAATAGTTTAGCTTACCTAGAGAAAAATGTCAGCCTTGACCATTATGTTTCCAGAGCAGTTTATATGAGATCAAATGGCCAGCAGCAACTTGAAAGATTAGCTAGGAGCCTTGAGGGAAAGTGAGTTTGTGTTCTGGGGGAGGGACACCTCAGAGGAGGAGGGTGAGAATTGTTACTCACCTAAGAAAATGTCGTCAGCACCTCAGTGTTGCCGAATAATCATACACGGAGGAATGGGTGAATTGGTGTATATCTTACTGTATGTAGTCTCAACAACAAGAAAATAATTTCTAGAAAAGAGGTAATTGGGAAATATTTCATTCTGCAGTGTTATTGAAATAATATTCGTAAGCCTGAGGTTTTCATTTTGCTTGAAATATAAAAATCATTTTGAATATTTCAGGTTTTCCATCCCTTGTATAACGCAGAATAATGAGATGCAGTAGATTCTTGTTTTGTTTTCATTATATTGTAGTTGATGAATGGATTAATAATTAAATGATTTTTTAAGAAAAGTGTTGGAGCAGGCAACATGCTAAAATCATTTAAGTTTAAATGTTATTTTTTAAATAATAAAATTTTTCTAACTTGAATGCTGTAGCAATGAGAGAGTCACAAATACATGTTTTAACATCAGATCCATGTTACTCTCATATTGAAGTCTAGGATTGTCCCCTTGGATTTTATAGGTCCTTATGATTTTGGAGGTGTACTTACGAATAGTAACCGGGATATTATAAATGGAGATGCCATCCACAAACGTAATCAATCCCACAAGGAAATGCACTGGTATGTATTCTCCTGTCTCCAGTCTTTCAAAAATTATAGCTCCCTTTTAAAATGTTAAGTGAAGTGGGGCCTTGTTCTACAACAGAAGTTCCTAGGGTACAGATTGCTATCACTCATTGCTGTGTTGTCGATCCCGCCTCCAAGCCACCTATAAGAGGATGGCCCCACAGGGTTTCCTGTAATTTATTTTTTTAAAAACATTTTATTGAGGGCTCTTACAGCTCTTATAACAATCCATACATCAGTTGTATCAATCACATTTGTGCAAATGTTGCGATCATCATTTTCAAAGTCCTGTCATTTTTACAGAAGCAAACTGCCAAATCTTCCGATAGAACAGCTGGTAGACTCGAACCACCAAGAGCCAAACACTTAATCATGATACCATTGGACTCCTTTGGACTACTACTTTTATTTGAAATCCAGCAATTTTTACACATCTATAGGAGGAAATCAGCATTTTAGTTGATATTTATTAAACAAATATTTATTCTATATTAAGCACTATTCAGTCATTGAAAATATATCCTGGTTGGAGGACACAATACCTGTCAGTATTTCTGAGCTTCTTTTCTCTCCAAATAAAGCTCCCAGTTTGGCTATGGCAGTAAATACAAACTGACTTTTTTCCTGCTTAATTTAATGGTCTCTCTCTCAGGGAGATGGTAATAAGGAGTTAAGAGCAGCCTCGTCAGAGAAATACTATTTGGGAGACTTGGCTAGTATGATTAAGCAAGTCTTCATCATTATTTTTGTGGTCCTTTTCTCAGCCTTCATCCTGGAGATCTCTATCCGTTCACAAGGAAGCCCCTGTTTATCATTGTGGATTCGTCCAACAGTGTGGCATATAAGGTGAGTTCTATGCACACTGCTGCACATGTTAGACCGTGTGGCTCCAACCCGAGGGGACCCACACTTAATGTGTGCCTTTTTGTGTTACTTTGTTTCGTTCCATTTTACACAGTTTGCATTTAGTCTCTCTTTTCTTTTGAGGTTGTGCATGCTAGTCAGGATCTGGTGCTATGAATAGAAAGGAAGAAAACGCATGAATGGACATTCAGTGGAAAGTAATAAATCCTTCTGCAGGAAAAAAAAATATCAAGATTTCCAAGATCACTGGTGGGAGGCTTATTTTTGTTACATATCCCAGGACAATTTTCTTTTCTAGAGATAGGAGCACATGGGTTAATTTTATTTTATACTCTTCCAACGTTTCTCTCTCCACATACTGAGCCCTTCTAGTTAATTGCAATGTCTATCCCATGTTATGTAGGGATAGTCTTGGAATATTAACGTATGGATTTAGATACACGGATGTTTTTGGAGGGCAGAGGATGCCCTTGGATGGTAAACTAAATGACAGATCTAGCTTTATTTTTTTATGTTACTGTTCTGCTCTTGGAACGATGGTTTTCAATTATTTCTATAAAGAATGCCAACATCAGTAAAACACTTTAAAGTTGAATGTTAGAATCCCAACAATAGCTAGTTTACAGAAAAATGCAAACAATCATTGTAGTCCTCTGTACCTAATTGGAATAGTTCATTCATTAATAATACTTTTAGAAAGATGTTAACTTACTTACTTTTTAACTGATCATTTTGGCCGGGTCATATTCACCATAGAAGATTTAATGATTCTCTTGCCTGGAATGTCAAGGTCTGAAGGCTAGCACTGTGCTTTGTATTTCCAGAAATCTGTGCGTGCGTGCGTGCGTGCGTGCGTGCGTGTGTGTGTGTGTGTGTGTGTTTATATGTTCTTAGATATTTATGTCACCTGTGCTTCACTCTAAAATATCCTTAATAAATCTTTGTTACATGGATAAGGAAAAGTAGGTGCTATTCTATTTACAGATGAAGAAAGAGGCTATGGAACTTAAGTGATTCGCCTAAGTGATGTCAGCACAGAGCTTTCTTACTTCCGAGCCCATGCTCTCCACATTTAGAAAAAGAGGACTTTGCTAGCTTGTCTGAACCTCATTTGTGAAATATCAAGACTTGTGTAAAACTGTATGTTGGCTTTCAGATTTCCTAGATAGTTCTTTTTTTTTTTAAGTGTTTTATGAACCTTTATTGGAAAGACTGTAGACTTTATATTGCCACTGTACTATATTTCTTCTGTTGATAGTGGTTGTAGGGAACTAACCTTGGATACAAAGCTACTATACTGTTGAGTCTTGCCCAGGCTAGTTAGGAGACATTTTTGCACAATGGAGGTAGAGTGGATTGGGCAGTAATTTAAAACTCATAGGTCTTCATTAGTATCAAGACATCTTTTTTTTTTTTTTAATTCTGGTCCCAACAAATGTAGAAATAAGCTACAAGTCCTATATTTAGGCTCAGGGATGGCATAATTTCAATTTCTAGTTTTCAGTTTTCCCTCATCCTTTTACAAATATAAAATATTTTTTCTTTTTGCCTCAAATAAGAGTGTTTTAAGCATATCTGAGAATGAAAAGAAAGGAATAATCAAAACATGGAAAGAAGAGAAACATAACATTCTTGTCATACTCCTCTCACCTGATTTTCTCAAAGCAGCCTAAAAGTCGTACTCTTCTAAAATATTAGTAACAATTGCTACTTCCCCCAAATTAAAAATATCCAACTTACTGAAAATAGAATCTTTAACGTGATGTTTAATGAACACTGAGCATCTTAAACAGGTTCTACACAGACATAATTCCACTACTGACTTGCTGTTACCTTATTTTTAAAGGATGGTGGTGGTGGTAGACACAGAGACCTAGGTTAGCTTGGCCCCCAAACTCAAGATAATTTAGGAATTACATAACTTCGCATCAATCAAAGCCATTAAAGCCTGTTCCTACTAATGTCCTTTTCGTCTTTTAAACTTATAAAATGGTTAATCACTTTAGAAATCAGGTGCATGGCTTTTTGAAAGGGCAGTTTAAGATCCAGAACCAAAGAAACATCCTATTTGTTTTTTTTTTTAATAATTTTATTGGAGGCATTTACAGCTCTTATTACAATCCATACCTACATCCATTGTGTTAAGCACATTTCTACATATGATTCCATCATCATTTTAAAAACATTCTCTTTCTACCTGAACCCTTGGTATCAGCTCCTCATTTTTTTTCCTCTCTCCCTCATGAACCCTTGATAATTTTTTTTAAATCATTTTATTGGGGGCTCATAAAACTCTTATCACAATCCATGCATACATCAATTGTGTAAGGTACATTTGTACATTCGTTGCCCTCGGCATTCTCAAAACATTTGCTCTCCACTTAAGCCCTTCGTGTCAGCTCCTCCTTTTCCCCCTCCCTCCCCTCTCCCCCTCTCTTATGAACCCTTTATAATTTATAAATTATTTTGTCAGAACCTTTGATAATTTATAAATTATTGTTTTCATGTCTTACACTGACCACTGTACATTATCCATGTCTTTTTTTCTTTAAATCATTTTATTGGGGGCTCGTACAACTCATCACAATTGTTAAACACATCCATTATGTGTCAAGCACATTTGTACATTTGTTACCCTCATCATTCTCAAGACATTTGCTTTCTACTTGAGCTCTTGGTATCAACTCATTTTTTCCCTTCCCATCCCCCGCCCCCTCCCTCATGAACCCTTGATAATTTATAAAATATTATTTTGTCCTATTTTACACTGTCTGATGTCTCCCTTCACCCACTTTTCTGTTGTCCGTCCCCCAGGGAGGTTATATGTAGATCCCTGTAATCGGTTCCCCCTTTCTACCCCACCTTCCCTCCACCCTCCCCATATCGCCACTCTCACCACTGGTCCTAAAGGGATCATCTGTCCTGGATTTCCTGTGTTTCCAGTTCCAAATTTTACCAGAGTACATGCTCTGGTCTAGCCGGATTTATAAGGTAGAATTGAGATCATGATAGTGAGGGGAGGAAGCAATTAAGAACTAGAGGAAAGTTGTATGTTTCAATGTTTTTACACTGCACCCTGACGGTTCATCTCCTCCCCGAGACCCTTCTGTAAGGGGATGTCCAGTTGCCTACAGGTGGGCTTTGGAACCCCAATCTGAGCTCCCCCTCATTCACAATGATAGGATTTTTTGTTTTTTGATACCTGATCCCTTCGACACCTCATGATCACACAGGCTGTTGTGCTTCCTCCATGTGGGCTATGTTGCTTCTGTGCTAAATGGTCACTTGTTTACTTTCAAGCCTTTAAGACCCCAGACGCTATATCCTTTGATAGCCAGGCACCATCAGCTTTCTTCAACACGTTTGCTTATGTACCCATTTGTCTTCAACAATCATGTTGGAAAGGTGAGCATCATGGAATGCCAGTTTAATAGAACAGTGTTTTTACATTAAGGGAGTACTTGAGTGAAGGCCCAAGGTCCATCAACTACCATAATGCTAAACCTATAAATATGTGCACATAGATCTCTTTCCCCATCATCATATATAAATATATCTACATATATACAAGCCTGTATTTAGACCTCTATAAATGCCCTTTGCCTCCTAGCTCTTTCCTCTATTTCCTTTGACTTTCCTCTTGTCCCACTATCATACTCATTTGGGTTTCAGTTACATTGCCCTTGATCAATCCCTACCAGGCCCCTTACACTATCCTTGCCACTGATTTTGGATCACTTGTTGTTGCCTTTTCCCTGGGTTGGTTAACACCACTTCCTTTCCCCCACCTCCCCGTCTCCCATGCCCCTCTAGAACCATTGGTCCATTGTTTTCCCCTCCAGATTGTTTATCCAGCATATCTTATCTAGATGAATCTGCAGATAATAATATACACAAAAAAACAAGACAGAGCAAAAGAAAACAATGACAACAAGAAAAAAACCAATGACACAAAAAAAGAAAAGCCTGTAAATAGTTCAAGGTCTGTTTATTGACGTTTAGGAGTTTTCCTGTGGAGTCTGATGGAGTACCACACCCTAGCCCCAAAGTCTATTTTTGGTACTCTCTCAGGACTTCCTTGCTGTTCTGTTGCATGCCTTAAGTGTTTTGCCTCAGTGTGGTGGGGTCAAATTGGGCTCACTTCCCACACTGTATCTCTAGTGTTGTCCCCTATAGGGCTATGGGTCAGTGAGGGTTGTATTTCTCATCATTGTTACAT